CACATTGTATCACAGACTGTTTACCTTTATCTTCCACTTTTGGGGCCTCTGGTTGAAATTGAAGTTCTCCATTAGGACCTGCAGGGGGCTGCCCGTCGGCTGCCTGCTGTTCCTTTCTCTGGGACATCTCTAATACAGCCTGAAATTGTGAAATTGCAACTGAATGATCACCTGTATGTTTCAGTGCTATTACAGGCTGAGGATTGGTTATTGAAAAAGTGTAACCCCCATGTAATTATGATCCACTCTTTGAATCCAGTTTGGGTTGATATAAAGCTGTGAGTGTTGGGACAGTTACCTGCTGGTACTCCCTCCTCTGCGCCTCCAGGGCTTTGCCTCTCTCCTTCAGCAGGTCCTGCTGCTGCTGCAGGTTCTCTGCCTTCCTCTTCAGTTCCTCCTCTTTGTCCCTGAGTTCCACCTCAAACAGCTGGAGCTCTTCCTCTGTGTACGCCGGTTTAGTTTCCAAAGTCTACAGAGAGAGCAAGACATTCACACAACTGTTGAAATATTATGGATTTGTAAAGACGTAGCTTCGTTATTCTCACCCACATAACCTCATTGGCTGGTTCTGCTTCTGTCTTCATTCTCAATATGTCTTTGATCAAAGCTATTAGCTGATACTAAACACATGCATCTCTGACTAAGGGGACAAGCTATATTATGGGTATTGTAGGTTGTTTTGAAAAGGAAGAGGATTTTATATCTTATTTTCTGAACTGTCCCTCCTGAGTGGACAGTGTTACTACATAGTAAACTACATACTTCCATTCACAGCAGCCACTTATGGGAGCAGCTTGAAGTCTGCAAATTGATGAAAAGAAAGAATAGCATTACACATTTAACTACACCGCCCACATCTTCCCAGCTTGTCCTGGGATTTGAACCGCAGATTTGAACCTCCGATCGCCCGCCCACACCCCCGACCTACAGGCCACCCTGGGCTCTTTACCTCCCACTCCCTGGGATTACTGAACTCCTTCTTCTCCGTGGATTTAAGGAACTCTTCCAAGCTGACGAGACGATCTTGATTGGCGTCCACCTTTAACACAGAAACATCAGCTATATCAGTCGTGGCAAAGCATGGAAGGAAGTGGAGTGTATAAACAGCATGTGTTAGAAGCAAGAGCAAAAACCCTCACATTCTTCATGACATGTTCCCTCATCCTCAGCCTTTCTTCCTCCATCTCCGTCATATCATCTTCCTCATTCTTTGCGTCGTAGACCTTCTCCAGCTGGAGGAGGGAAATGAACAGATGTTACAGGGCTGCTGTGCATATCCCCGCTGTCAGGTTCAGAACTTGTACTTTTTCAAAGTCTGCAGGATCACAGACTAAACAGCTGTATTTTCAAATAGATGATCATCCACTTTTGATATTGTGTCATGTGGTTTTAAGGGGTTTTCATAGCAAAACCAAAACAATTAAAACCTTGATTTTGAAGACAAGATGTAAGGCCTTACCTCTTTAGTGAAAAGAGCCTCCAATTCCTGCTCATCTAAAACACCATCTTCATTTGTATCTAAAACAGGGCGGAGGAGAAATAAGAATGTTTTTCTTATCATGAAAAAGGACAGGAATGAAAAGAAGAGGCGCCACTCACCATGCAGTTTAAAAAATGTTTTAGGGTTGAACTCCTTAGGATCCAGTCCGTCTGTCTCCTCCCAAACTTCCCGTAGCTGAGCAACACTACCCTGAGGTTTGGAAAAATGAAGCAAAGAGGAAACACATGTAAGAGAGCTTCATTCACTTCCACTTGTTTCCAATTGAAAAAAAACAACATTTGTGCTTACTGGAGCATTGACTTTGGGGTGCTGGTGGTGTTTTTCCTTGAGCTCCTCCATTCTCTTCTCCTCTTTCTCCCTCTTCTCCTGGTCCAGGCCCTTCAGGTACTCCCGTCTCTCGTGCTCCTTCAGCATCTCGTAGCGTTTAAACTCCTCGTGCCTCTCGGCGTCGTAGTTCTCCAGGTCCTTGGTGGCCTAGACAAAGAGCCAGAGCGAATATTTTATTCTAAGACAATCAGTAACAGGTTGTCCATCATGTTCTGACTGGTATTAGTAGCATACTCAACTCTGATTAGTGTAATTATGATTCTGCTGGACTGTAAGGAGATTCATCACTTCCACAGGTTCCATTTCAATCTGGTCAGCACATAAACGGACTGATTTTTCTGTCTCTGGGGATCTTACCGTTGTGATTAGCAGCTCAAGGTCTTTGGCCTCGAAGGTGTTTTGATTGTGGGGATCCAGATGTTCAAACTGCTTGAGTAGAGAGCTGTGGTCCATCTGCAGGCCTGCACAGCAGAGAAGACTCATCATTACCAAACACATGCTGGACTCATATGACTTCCATTATATCCTGTACACACTTAACACACCTCTGTATGAAGGAGGTTACATTCCTCTCTCAATACACAATTTACTATTCTGCATTCATGTGTATATTTACTATTGTTGGTATTTTTTCCAAGTAAAAAAAGAAAACATTTGCTGATTGCGTTTCTCACAAAATCATACAAATATTGCTTTTCAGAGTACATCATTTGGATCACATTTAGTATAGTTATTAGTAAGATTTGAAGACACTTTCAGTTCAAATACTTGTTTTATGTTCAATGTCACATTTTATACACTACACAACAAAATGTTACCTATAAAAGAAGACAACGCTACCTTCACAAATTAACATTTGTCATATGAATGTATTTTTCTGATACAGAAACCATGCCATTTTTTTTAGCAGGGATCTGCACAAAATCTAATACAATCTATTTAAATAGGTACATGTACACACTATTTTTCACTACATGAAAATGAGTCTACTCACTTTGTGTATTGGTGCTGTCCAGTTTGGCCTTGAGCAGCATCCTGAGGCGAGAAACCTCCTGACGCTTCAGCTCATCCAGACGAGTCCTCACATGGTGACCCACCAGATCCAGCTCTTTACTGAGACGACCATTCTGAAGAAGCACACAAGACATCCAGGGGAGAACAACAGATTAAACCTGAGATCCTCAGTTTACCAGTTTAAAGGTAAACTAGGAAGCTTCGTTAGTGAGAATGAAATAGGAAATGGCTGACCTTGATGTCCTCTGTGTTCGCTGTTTGCAGTTTCTCCCTGAAGTGAGGGTCTGTCTCCAAAACCTCTATCACTTCTCTGAGATACCTGTCGTAGTACAGGCCAGTGTCCTGAAAGAGTGTGTATGAAAGGACAGATTATTCACAACTAACTAAAACTCAATTAATTACATGACTGAGACTATTGAGATTGTTACCACGTTCTCTTCCGGCACTTCCTCTTTAGTTTCCTGGTTGTCTCCATTGCGATCTATAGGCACTGACCAGACCCCAGCACAGATGGATAGAACCAGCAGCCACACAGGTGTTGGGTTCATCCTCCTTCAATAAACCACACTAACTGTTACCATATTGTCAAGGTCCATTTGTACTTATTTATAGAGCATTTGTTTTACAACAATCATTAATGAACAAAAATATATCAGAAGATATAAGTCCTTAAAAACATGCACAAAGACAAAGGGCACAAATACACACAGACAGTCATGCACATTGGTTAAGCATGCAAACATATGAATCAAACTATGACTGAAAAGCTACAATCTTACAAAGGCATGTAACACTGCATGAGGCTGATTGTAAGGTCCTCTGTTACTGAACAATTTAACCCTGCTGTATGTTAGCTCAGACTTTCATTTAAAGGTGCAAACAGTATAGGTATATATATTTTAACTACTAGATAAATCAAAACAAAATAAGTCATCTGGGAGGATAGTAACCCTGAACCTGGGTTAGTTACACGTAGCAACATAATTATTGCAAACTCATCTTATTTTAGTGTGATTTGTAGTGTGGTATGAATACTGTATGCCGAATTCGGAAAGAGATTCCATATATTTGAAAAAACTCTAAAGTTGTTTACTTCTATAACGTTTGTAGCTTCTCCGAAAAGATGATCAATAATATCAGATGTTTTAGGTGGAGTTTGGCGTAACATTCATTTCTGAGTAGGACACCTTCTACAAGCTGAAATAGGAGCATCTATTCATCTAAAGATACCATAAAGGTTATTGAATATAATAAATAACCCAATTTAAATGTAGCATTAGTATTATAGTGTATTATCCGTGTGGTGGCTAGTCATCGTTAGCTAACTAGCTTAGATTATTAGGACAACACGGATGCGGATGAGGGAAGTGCTAAACAAACAATTGTATCCTTCCCTAGATGTAGTCATATCATATGTGAGATTGAACCTATGACATGAATAACGTAATGCTTTGTTTAACAGCATTTATAATGTTATTCATTCGTTACAATGTAATTGTACAGGTAATATAACAGGTTCACCGACAGTAGCCCTGAGCATCGGGGGTTGCAACTGCGTTGTCTCTGAAATGTCACGATTATTTCTAATTTAAACTGCATCGATACAAGAAATCTTAATTAAAATACGCTTTAACACAAGATGTCTTTAAATAGATAGTTACCTACCGCACGTATGTTTAAAATATCCGATCCGATGCTCAAAGCACGATTTGTATTCGCGTCGGATAAAATTGACGTCACGGGTGTGAAGGGGTTGTCCTACACGCTGCCTTCAGGGACCGTCGGAAATACTTACCACAGAAATGTCAAATATACCTTAGGCAGCTTAGTCCTTTTGTTTTATTTTAAGTAGTAACCCTCGATTAAAAAATCAGCCCCCAACATATTTGCTCCTGTCACTGTCCTATAAGGGTGTAATTATGACCCTTGTGAAAGTTGATACATTATATTTTCATTATATAGTTCAGAGCTCGGAAGAACTGACCCTGTTGAGTTATGTAAATGTGATGTGTGAAGTAAGTGAAAGCAGCATTACCAAAAACATAAATAAAACACAAATGCCAAACACACGTTGTACAAACGTTTTAAACGTTTAATTTCTTTGAAAAATAGATCTCATGTATATTAAATTCAGTACACAAACACAAAGTAATGGCAGGTTGAAATAAATTAACATCAAAAGAGCCAACAATTTAACTTAATAATAAATAAAATATATAAATATTATGCATCAAAATAACATCTATGCCTACAAATAGAAATAGATAATAAAATATGGCACATGTGAAGTTAAACAATAAATTATAAATTAATAGTCACTCAAAAGATAATTTTAAAATATCAAAACAGGTCAGAGCATTTCGAGGTCATGTTCAATATATATCAGTTTGACTGATACACTTTGATAGGTTTTTGACCGATTCACACTTTCAATGTAAAAGTCGATCCAGTGTTTAAAAATCAATCTCTCTCAGGTCAGTAGGGGTCCCGGGTCTTTCGTTCTCCACCTCCTCTTCCTTCTCCATGGGGCCCTGCTGCAGCCCGCTCCTCAGCCGCTGTCGGAGACCATATTCGATCATGTCACTGTAGCACTGTAGCAATGCCTTGGATAAAAGACATAAAGAAAATCAATTATTTTTGTCAAAGATGCAACCTGGCTTTTTTAATGACTGAAAACCCAAACAGACCTCTCTTAAAGGTCCCATGTCATGGCTATTTCTACTGATCATAATTCCATTGTTGAGGTATACTAAAATAGATTTATATTGTGCAATTTTCCAAACTCACATTGGTTTCTCATACAGCATCTCTGTATAGTATGTGAATTCACTCTCTGTCCTAAACGGCTTGTTGGAGCTCCTGCCCCCACCCCCTCCCTGTGAGCCCAGTTGCCGCCTGCGAGACAGCGAGACACAGCGAAACCCAGCCCGAAACACACACACACCCGCAGCCTGGCTGGGAGTTTGTGTGTGTGCTCAGGCTGAGTTCCGCTGTGTCTCGCTGTCTTGCCGACCCCACACCAGTGAGCCAGCTCACACTGTCCGCTCCTCGCAGCAGCGAGGCTCGCAACGTCCCGCCGAGTGTGTGTGTGTGAGGAAGTCCGCGGATTGGTCCAAACGTAACGGCTCCGCGGACGTTACGTTACGTCACTATACCCAAATACGTCACTATACCCAAGAAGAAAACAATGGAAAAAGAGAAATCTCCAACGAGGCGTTCTGGGGCAGCATAGACAGGTATTTTCTGTGTTAGAGTTTTACTCGCTACAGGGTGTACTTTGAGGGTTTGTGACTCATACAAAGTCACATAACACACAAGGGGACGGGTAATAACCAGAAAAGCATGACATGGGACCTTTAACATATTATGGAAAAAACTCTGATGAGATCAAAAGGCCATACTGTAATGTGCAGCATCAGACTGCAGGTGTACTCACCAGGTCAGCCTGGCAGAGCTCCGCTAGTGCCGCACATATGACAGCCAGCTGAGCCGGGCTCTTGTTGCCCAAGCCCCGCAGAGCACAGTTCAGTGTCGCTGCAGCAACAAGGGACGGTGGTGCTCCCAGGAAGCGGGAGTCACACGCACACATGGCGGCCAGCGTGTCACTGTGCCGCCGCAGGGTGGAGAGCAGCAGCCCCTTCTCAGAGTCACCGCTGTCTCCATCTCTTCGCTCCTCCACAGAGGCAAGGAAATGTGGGAAGAAGTCCTGCGGAGTCACTGCTGCTGTGTCCCATCGGAGGGTGGCGAGGATGAGACGCTCCATCTCCTGGTAGAGGGAAGACAGGTGCATTTAGAAAACATTGTGTAACGATAAAACATGCAGAGATAGCCTATTGATTGGCATCATACGTGCATACGAAACACAAAAGGGATGTTTTTGTATTGATACATTGTGATATTTCCTCAATATGATCTTGTCATCTTAAAGGATGTGTTAGAGTTCAATAGGTTCAATCAATACTTGTCATTCATTTAACCAAATTCTAAATTCTAAATTGGGTAAATGCATCAATACTATATCCAATATTTATACATTGGAATAATATCTTTAGTAACTGACTGTTTTCCCATCCAGTTATCTATTGAGGTAAACAAATAGTGGGTTCATTTTTATATTTTCAGAAGTTCTCTGATTCCAGCTTCTCAAATAGAAATATGTGCTGCCTCTAACATATATTAAAGTACATGGAAATCATTTGGGGTTTGGATGTTTTGTCAAACAATACATAATATTTGAGGACATCACCTTGGGCTCTGGAAGGTTGAGATTCTATTTTTTCCCTTTAATCTGAATAATCTGATGATAAAACTAGATATGGTTACACTTTGTGAGACATATGTCATCTTTGTATATAACTTACAGAAGAAACCCTTTAGTTCATCGGGCTAATATAAGTGATATAAAAAAAACGGTAATTTGGGGGGAAAAAGTTAGTTCTAGCACTATTGCATCTAAATCAATGTCAATTGTGATTTGTCATTTATTTGTATTTATTTAATCGTTTATTTGGCAGGGACAATGCACAGTAATGAACACTTATGTACAAAAATGTATCAAGTGTAACAGTGCCAGATTTAGCTTTAAGCTATTTTCCATCCGTCATAAAGTTGATGGATGTGTTAAGGCACAATCATACAAGAACAAATCTCTGTGTTTACTTAAGTTTGATACAGTTTGGCGGCTAAAACTTTCAGACTAACAACTTTATACAATGTGATAAAGTTGGTTTTGTGCATTTGAAATAATCCACTTGGTTGGATTACAGGTGGTGATATCAGGGACCCACACCTGGAAGGTAACCCAACACTTTACTAAGGTTTTGTTAAAAATAGATGGACGAGCAATATTCTGAATGAGTTCCCACACAGCCCTGACTGCGTGGTTTTAAACAACCACATTTCTATGCACCTGCCACCTGTGGATGCTGTGTGACTGACTCACCCGCAAGTTTGAAGGCACGAAGCTGTACTCAGCTGCGGCACAGAGAGTATCAGCAGTGACGCTTTCACACTCTGAGAGTTTGGAGGCGATGAGGATGCAGCCTGCAGCCAGGCAGTATGGCGAGACAGGCAGAGACAAAGAGGCCGACAGGAACCTGTCCATCAGAGAGACAGACAGAGGGAACACTGCCTCATCACAGCCAACCTCACAGCACACCTGTAGAGAAGACAAAAAGAAGGCATCAGTATCAAAGTTGCCATGATCACATAACTCATGGGAGGAGGAGAAACTGGAGCTTCAGAGAGTTTCATACCTCCAGGGCCCATTTGGCGAGCTCCTCCCTGCGCTCTGGCTCCCGCTGGATGAGGGTGATGTAAAGTATGGAGGGCATGTACCTCTCCTCCACCTGAAGCAACCTCTGGATCACACGATGCCCGGACACAGTGGGGTCCCAGCCGGCTCGCAGCTGAGAGGAGCCCACCATGTATCCGCCCTGGGCTTGTGCTTCAGTCTGGCTGTGGTCCTGACTCTTGTCGTTCTCCACCTCCTCACACCACAGAGACATGCCTCTGTCCATCTGTACAGACTGCTGGGTCAAATATGAACTTGTTTACTCCAATTGGTAAAGGAAGGAAGCGGCAATATTGTCCCTCTGTCACCCGAGGAAGCTTGGTTTACTTCAGGTGAACAAGCTGGGAAACCCTTTTTCCTTGTCGAAGATGTGTTGCCTTCCTGTGGTGCTGTGATGAATACCCCTCCCTAACCATCGCCTCTGACTTTTATACCCATCGGGGAGAGAGTGAGAGGGAGTGGCACATGGGGGAGGAAAAAGAGCGTGGAAAGGGGCGTGAGCCCTCGTGAGTGACATAAAAAAATGAGAAGACAACAATATGTCTGTGCAACAATTGCTTCAACAGGTGGGGAAAGGGAGGACGAATGAGAGCAGGGGAGAGAGGGAGGCAGGGGGGGAGGGAAGAGGAGCAGACAAGTGAGGGAGTGGCCCGCAGGGACAGAGTAACAGCTTGTCTTCGATACTGAAAGAAAGAAGGGAGGATAAGAAAAGGCTACAAGCGGTGAGAGTCAGAGAGGGGAGAGAAAAGGTCATATCCAGACTCTGACAATGGGAATGGATGACAAAAGGAGGAGGGTGTTTGTTTACAACGTGAGCACCAGAGGAGATGTGTCAAAGTCTGGATGGATGCTCGATCCTGCTGCTGTTAGATTCAGATATTGATATTTATTGATAACCCTATTTCATATTTGTGTCTTTAACAGATACTCAACCTTAAATACTTGTTATTATGTGTGTACTTAATACTTTGTGTATTTCCCTGATCCTTAGGGGAAGATTACTGAAATAGTTAGGCTGAAATATTGATTAATTGAATAGATCATTCAATCAATTTTTCTGTCATACATGAGATTAGATTGACCATCTTTGGGGTTAAGACTCTTTTTTTCGGCCAATTTCTTACCATATATATAAGGATAGTCATAAGTAAAGTGATACACTTTACTTATAGAGAGGCTTTACATTATTGAACCAGGGTTAAATACATTCAGAAATGCAATGAGGGGAATTCAGAGGGAAGTTTGACAGTTGAAACAAGTTGGAATAAAATAAGATAAAAACAGATAAAACAAATAAGGCATGTTGGAAATAAAATGTTGCATTGATAAAACAAACTTCTCTTTTCTCAAGATACGTTTTTAAAAAGTGATATCAAATTCTGCTATCCTCAGTGAAAGTAAGGTTTTTAGAATATAATTGTGTTAATTAAAGTTTTGGCTTCGTCTCTTCTCCCCTCCGAGGTTTCTCATTGTCAAAGCAACCTGTGGCCCGCTGCCCGCTGCCCCCCCCCCCCCCCACCTCGCCTGGGGCAATCTGCTGCTCGTGTTTAAAGCGCAGCGCAGCCACTGGGGAGGGCTGGGCGAGGTATGTGCAACAGACAGTGGAGCAGGGCAGGTCAATGAGCCGTATTGTCTCCCTTTACAAATCAGTGTCAGACAGCAGCCCCTGGCCTTCTGCCTGCTGCTGGCTCCTCTCTCTCTCACACACACACACTTTACACATTCATGGGGTAGACACACTTTTCACACACTCTCCGGGGACTTCCTCTGACGGTCACAATGGGGTCGCACTCACCAGTGGAGAATACAGATTGTATTTGACAGTCATTACAGGTGGCTGTTCACACATTAAGGCTTCAATGGCAGCTCATGTTTCAATAGGAGTTAAATGGACGACCACACTGACACCATGACTTGATTTCAGCTGAGCATCAATAATTCATTCTATTCAAAGTAAAGCTGGCGAGTAGATTCAGGTTTCATACGCAGGGTAAAATTGTTTTTGAACTTATTTGTGTCAAAATAAATACACTTCATAAGATACGTTATTGAGCGTAACATAGAAAAAAAGTATTATATAGTTAATAAAATAGTATCATAAATGTAGTTACATTACTTTGATTTAACTAAAATGACTTTGATTTAACTAAAATTATATTTGTTCAGACAAGTGAAGAGGAGGTTATCAGATTTCAATTATAAGGAAAAACATATGAAAAATAAAAATATGAGGTATCAAAAGTCAACGTTTTCATGATGCTGAACAAAAATGTCCCCATTGCAAGTACTATGTTAATTGATTATTTCATTATTGAATTGTTGAATTATCATGCATACCTCTGCACACATTTTACTGCTGTAAATGGTGAAGCTGATTTGAACTATTAACATTGTCAGGTATTTTTCATCTACAGTATAACTGCCCATTTCATTTTAGGTTTAATAAGTGCAGTATATCGCTCTGAATTGCTGTCAAGTGTCAACTATAAGGACACAGGGCCAGATAATGGAAATACGGAAGCATTTTAAAATAAGTATTTAAGCTCATGTACAGATATTAATATATCAATAACAATATATCAGTGACAGACATTTTCTAAAAATCCAACCTAAAGAAAAATCTTTAAATAAAAGTAATATTATATATATATATATATATATTGTTTTGTGAATGTGATCCAGCCTCTCTGTAATGCACACTGACCATCAGAACAGCAGGCAGAGGACACTGCCAGATGGGTAAACCTTCTAATACATAGCTGGGATTCCTGCTCTTAAATAAAACCAATTAGGGTGCAATATGTCTGAAACAAAAACTCCAGTAGCCCATAGACCTATTCAAACAACCACCTGTCAACATTATGAATTGAAGTCTTCTTACTGTGATTTGAAGTATTTGTGCAGATACAAACTTTTTGTCCCAAAAAATTGAATAGGTAGCTTAATTAAGTTTTTACGGTCCCAAAGTGGAATTTTGTATTTGGCTTGCAGCATGGCAACAATGGATGTATGAGGATCAATAGAAAGATTTGCAGATTAAAACAACAACTCATAACAAAACCTGTAAAATCCTCACACAAAAAAATACCTCAAGAGAATATAATGATATCTTGAGTTTTTTTCAAAACAAACCAAAGGCTCAAATCTAGATTAGAGGGCAGAGCTTCAGCCACATCATCTACTGAAGAAAGCAGCTCTTAACACCCAGCATAATGACAACATGAAGAGACCCTAATCCTCCAACACTCAGTCGATTGAAGCATTAGTGAGAGAATATGGGGTTTAAAGCTGTTGACAAGGCCTTCGCCTATAAAACAGGCTTTGAGAGGGGCTGAAAGCAGATTGAGTTTGAATGAGGGGCTGAGTAAGTTTGGCTCTGCCAGTCAAGTGAGGTCAGGTTGGGGTGGAGGGGAGGGAGGAGGGGGGGCGGGAGGAACAGGGTGACAGATCGCCAGCCTGTTTAAGCACCCTGTTAAATTCATACATTGCAGCTGTATTCAAACAACACGCTCAGAGGGGGAAAGAGACAGTGATGAGCCAAAAGAGGTCCTGAGAAGGGGTGTGGTTCCCCGCCCCTCATTTTCCAGCTCATTTCCCGGGACAGTGGAGAACAGAGCTCCTTTTCCCCTCACACAGACACCTGCTGGCCAGCGGGGGAGGGGAGAAGGCCAGAGTTTAACCAGTTCACAAGTTAAGACACCACATAAACAAACAGTTGGTAATGGGGTACATTTCATGATTCTATTTTTATTTGTATAACACATTGTTCTAACCTCATTTCAATGTAGTTATCACTCAGTATAAGAACATTTTAAGTTGAAATATTGTTCAATTTAATTAATTATTGTAAATGATCTTATGTAGACACATTTTATATTATTTATATGTGTAATATTTTATCTGTTTATATACCAGTAATGTAAGCTTTGGAAGAGGACTTTAAGTAGTTCACAAGTTAATGGTGCTTGTCATTACATTTAATGGTCATTTTCTTGTGTCTTTTTGGTTTTGTCTTGTTTAAAAAAAGTTTTTGTTGTTTTGTGTTTAGGAGTGTCCTGCATGTTTTTTTATATTGAGTGTTACTCAGATTTTTGACTTTGTTTACATTTTTCTTTTTTGAATGCTTCTTTCTTTTGAGTATTATGCTGTTGTGTATTGTGACATAGAGGTTATTTGCTGTGATTATCTTGGTGATTATTATGTATTTGTTTAAGGGCCCAGTTAACAAGCAAACTTGATTTGACTTATATTCAGTTTTTTTTTTACCCGTTCAGATTGAGAGGTGTTGATTCAACTTTATTTGAACTAATTGTAGAGGCTGTACTACTTAGTTGTTTCCATTTACATCAATGATGGGGACTGTTGAGTTAAAATGCTGTGACATGTACTGTTGTGTGCGACCAACTGTGTGATGTCAAAAGCAAAAATATCAATGACATGCTTCATTAAGATTCAACCATTTATTTGGAAATAATTAGCGGATGAAAATGTTATTTCATTACAATATGTAGATAATTACAAGGCTAAAAAGATCACCACGCCACATGCGTAAACTATAAGGCATGCAATAAAGTTTGCATAGGGCTGGAATGGCATCATATAGTACTAACAAGATGCTGCCAGTGAGCAAATCCTTCATCTTCTTCCCTTTAAGGAGCAGTGGCGAGGGGACGCAGGACAAAATGCACTGAAAGCATCACATGGGTCGAGCAGAGATGATTATTAAATCATTGTCAGAAAGGTAAAAGAACATCACTCAGAGAGGGATGGGGAGTAGAAAGGAGGACAAAACTCTTAACAAAGACACAGGACATGTAAACAAATGACACGCTGTCATGGAGGACGGGGAGCAAACCATAAACATGGAAAAAGTGCACTGCAAGTACAGCTATAATGTTTAAACAAAAGAAAAAAAGCTTCAACAGCGCCCCCTGCCTCTGACAGACAGTAACAACAGTCTTCACCAAAGAGTCTTCATTCCTTCTCATTGGATAGAGTTTTCATTTATCTATACATCATTTTTTTGTTCATATATAAAGATCGTCCATACATTTCTTAGTGACTATAAGTCCCCCAGCTGACCTGCAGATTCAAGGATAGGTGGGAACGGGTGCTGAATCACAGGAAGCAGCGCCTGCCTGGGACTCGGCGAGGAGGCGCAGGGTCTCGCTGGCCTGGGAGTCTGGGCTGTCCTCCTCAGAGCTGGAGGGGACGTACAGACCCATGACCTGCTGCACCTTCAGGGGGAGCTCCTGCACAGGGAGGAGGAGGACAGGAGGTTAGGATCACTTGTGTAGAGGTGACTCATCTTATATAAAAGGTTCTAGATTTTTCGATTTAGCTGTTTGTTAGGTATGTGCAGATCCTATACTCAATCACTGTTTAGGACATAAGGAAAAAAAGCATAATCTGATGCAATCTCTTAACCTGACCTGCTAGACAACATCAGTCATTTAAGTATAGGCTATATAGAGGGTTGAGTCATTTCCAATATTTTACACTGGAGGTATAATTCCTTTGTTATTCTTAATTCTCAAATGTAAACTTATGCACAGTTTCCCTTTAGATTTTATTCTAAATGTTTGAAGCGCAGTATTACATAACTGAGTCATACCATGAGTACGTGACCTTTAAGGAAGTATATCATTTGTTACATTTTAGTTTTTAGGTTTCTATAGGTTAAGCAAGGTGCACCCATACACATATATTATTAATTGTTCAGTTGTTTAAGGGGGAAATAGGTATCGGTAAGGAAACAGTGGTATACTGTAGGTCCTTATTTCCTCACCTTTGCTCTTCATTATAAACACTGAGACACTCTATTGACTCCTGGCTGAATCTGATTGGCCCATGAAGCTATGCTACACCCCAGCCAGAGCTTTAAGGTCTGCTGACCAGCTGCTGCTGGTAGTGCCCAAGACCAGGCTTAAAACCCGAGGGCACCGAGCCTTCGCAGCAGCTGGCCCTAGGCTCTGGAACACTCTGCCCCTCCATGTGAGGTCGGCCCAGACCCTAGGGGTTTTTAAATCCTCACTAAAAACACACTTCTTCTC